TGCCGAGCGCAGAGTCTTGTCTTGAAATCTAAACGTAACGATACGTTACGCGCGTCGCGAGAACCGAGTCAAGTAACATCCGCGATACCGTCGCCGACCGGTTTACTCATAAGTCACGAGCGATAACTTTAAAATATATTCATTTAACTAAACAACTGTATTAATTAAATGAAAGTTACAGTTACTAAAAAGCATTGTAATCTTTAGTAATAAATAATTATATAAATAAAGGGGTACAACATTTGTAATCAACTATCAAATTGCTAAATAAAAAGGGTTATTTTAAATAGAAGTGTGGTGAAGTGAGTGTTTGTTCAACGACCTTTTACTATCCTCGTCTTTCCTCGTGGGTTCCAACCCTTTGAGCGGATCGAATCCCAAAATAATATCTTGTTGCACCGAGAGGTACAACAGAATTTTTAAAGGCTAGTTAATTAAACCATATATTTTATGGGAAAAATCCATATCATATGATCTTTAATACAAATGATAAATGTCATTAAAATTAAGTAAGTAATAAGGTAGAATTTAACTTGGCGCCGACTATTGATATCAAAACTTTTATACAAATGATACATGTCATTAAAGGACCCCGCAGATATTGATAGGAAAATGGCTTTCGGTTAAATTTTTTGAAGCTGTGGTAAATGATAGTTCTTATCATGTAGATCAAAAGTGTCAATGGGCAGAAAGTCCGATCCCCCATAGTTTTCGAGTTACAGCTCGTCAAAGTGGACAATTTTCGTATTTCCCACAAGGGCAACGCTCGAACTTCGGCTCGGGTGCTTGTCAATGAAACTGGAGTATATAACCCAGGAAAATGGATTCTATGGCGTTATATACACATACATATATAACTGTATTAAGGCTTATATATAATTATATATAATCCATATACAGTATGGCTCATTTTAATCGACGCACCCGAATATCTCCTAAAATACGCCAGCTATAAAAAAATGTTTCAGATAAAAATGGAATGGTGTCGAGGGGTACACGTTTTAGTTACATTGTTTTTTTTTCTAAGTGGAGGCGCTAAAAAGATATGAAGGTCACTTCCACTTTTTGAATGGAATTATGTAATTTTTTTTAGATAACGTGATTCCTCTAACTATTTTGCATATAAAAGTATTGAGGTACAGAAACCAAAAAACCAATAATTCTCTGGCCGTGCTGAGACGGTCCCTTATTACGTCTCTTTCCGAGTCGTCTGCAATAAAGGTGCGACAATCACCAACTAATATCATAATTATCAAAGGTAACCAAAACAATACGACCTGCGTGTACCGCGCTCCTCGAGGACACGATCGGGATCTCCCTTGGTGGTTTCTTGCTTCCTCGGCGTCGTCTTCTTTCTTCCTTTCGTGAGTGAGGCGGCAACATTACACAGATTTAAACAACCACCGCTCACGCTCTAAAGTGACTAATAATTGTTCTTTAAAAATCTGAAAGATTACTAAATATCTTATATAAAAGAATATACAAAACGAAACAAAAAATACAAATTTGGCACTCTCGCATGTGCCGTCGCCCTTCGAGCTTAGAGGACACAGGATCTCCGTGCCAGTGCACTTACGAGTGACGGACACAAAGTGTCACGTCACAATATTCAACATAGAAAATATACTTTATGTATGTTGCAGTTATTTTCTAGAACACTGTAATATTTTTATTGTAATCTGTTTTACTTATATGTAGGTATGTTCATTTTGAATTTGCATCTTGAATAATCTATCATTTACTTTTCGTGGTACATTTTAATATAAAGTGTTCTAGGTAGCACAATGTGTATTCTATATTAGATGTTCTTTGATAAGGATCCAAACCGAGGATCGAAAAACGTAAGAAAAATTGTATATTTTCAATAAATCGTATCAACACACACTAACATCCTGTGTACAAGACTCGATTAAGCATTTCTCTTTCTCTTTTAAATGATTATCTAATAATAATATATTAACCACGAAAAGTAACTGATATATTATTAACCTTTAGAGGGCCGGGATGACGCCTTGAGGGGTCATAACGATACCCTTTTGAGGAGCCAATATTTTGAAATTAGTAACAAATAGCAACGTGATTCTTTACGTTTTCGAGGTCGCTGATTACGAATCTGTGATCAGATTTTGCAAATTCGTGTCACCTCGTGCCCCAAAATGCCCCAAAATGTCCTAACTTCTTGATGAATACGAAACTGAACGAAAATATTAGATCAAGCGGACATTTCAATTTTGCCGTTTGTAAAAACTGTTACGTAGGATGAAATTTTTGCGAAAATTTTAATTTGAGGGAGATTCGTAATCAGCGGTTCCGAAAAGACTCTAAGTCATATTTTCATCGAATTTTGTGGTCATCGAAAAATTGGGAAATTTTGGGGTGAGGGAGGCTCCTGGGACACAAATTTGCAAAATCTTATTCCAGATTCGTGTATAGCGACTCCAAAAACCCCCAAGGTGATGTTTTTATCGCACTACGTGATCATCGAAGAATTGGGGTATTTTGGGACATGGGGGGAGGTTCCTGGGGCATAGAGTGGCTTCCGGGATACGAATTTGCAAAATCTGATCCCAGATTCGTGTTTAGCGACCCCAAAAACCCCTGGGGTAATGATTTTATTGAATTTCGTGGCCATTGGAAAATTTTGAAATTTTGAATATGTGCTTTACTGTTACGGACCGGGTTGACGCCTGGAGGCGTCATGGGTCGACTCGCCAACATCTGACCTTGGTTTGGTTCTAAGTTGGAGACTTCAGAACACTTTCCTATAGAAATAATGAGCGTTTAAAATTTTTGAAATCCCGGCCTTCTAATCCTAACATATCATTAAAATGAAAATGTCAAGCCATGTTCAAAAATAGATCTTCGCAAATTAAAAAAACCCAACAAATTTAAACCTTTGAAAATTAACTGCAAAAATTTGATCCTTCCTAAATTAAAACGATTACCTAACCACAAAAAATAGAAAACCCAATAAATTTCAACCTTTGAAAATTAACCCCAAAAATTTGAACCTTTCTAAATTAAAATGATTATCTAATCCCATAAAAAACCTTTTTTTTAAAAAAGAAAAAAACATACGCCAAGTGCATATAAAAGATACTGAACTTCTTGATCAAAAACAGATATGAGATAAATATAATTGACCAAGTGTATTCTTCATTACGCCAGTCACATAAGACAGACTGAAAGTGACTATAATTGTCAACTGGATTATAGTGAAGAAAAAACTTGGCGTGCCCGGGTCGCATTAATTGTAAACAGTATTCAGTGAAAACATTATTTCAACATAGTATTTGCATTATAAATTAAAATATAAAAATAACAGACATATGTATACAGATATATACGTATAATATATACGTATAATATACACGTATAATATAGTGATATAATTAGTATCATCATTCACTATATAGTGATATAATTTGTGGGACATGAAAATATATTCACAACTAAGTATTATAATATGTTCAGTAAGCAATTATTAACATCTTTTCTTTGTTGAATTGTTTTCGCATATATTGTGTATACTGCAGAATATTGCGATAGAACCAAGGTTCTAGAATATTGCGTTTTAATGCGACCCGGGCACGCCAAGTTTTTTCTTCACTATAATCCAGTTGACAATTATAGTCACTTTCGGTCTGTCTTATGTGACTGGCGTAATGAAGAATACACTTGGTCAATTATATTTATCTCATATCTGTTTTTGATCAAGAAGTTCAGTATCTTTTATATGCACTTGGCGTATGTTTTTTTCTTTTTTTAAAAAAAGGTTTTTTTATGGGATTTCACTGCTTTTTGTTAATTATGAAAACGTGATAATAATGTAGGAAATTTAAATCCTCTAAAAATAAATACAGATTCTGTTTCTAAAATAGTTATTTTGTAAATTTCTATTTATTTAATATTAAAGATGTACTCGTATTGTATTTATTGACACTTAATTATACTTAAGTTTATTTGTACTTAATTTAGATTTGTTCTAAGAAAAATATATACGCGCTCTTTGCATTTCGTGGCCACTTACATACTTCAACTTTTAAATCATTTATGGATGTCCATTTTGTACCTTTAGCTCGCAATAAATTTGTGTAATGTCCTTCGTCTATATTTTTACCATGATGAAGAATCGCACTATTAACTTTATAAATATTATCACCGATACAAATTTTTGACGAAGGGATGGATTTAATATTAAGATTTGTAATCTTTATAACTTCTTCATTATTAACTTTAAATAATAATAATTGAATAATAAGTACACGTTTGGTCGTTGTTATACTAGTCTTTTCAAGTAAAGCAGTTGAATTACAATTACATGTATGTGTCACACGTACGATTGAAAAATACATGTATGTGTCACACGTACGTCTGAACATAACTGAAACGTACCCTTTTCGGGACTCGGTCTCTAGATCTCGGTATCGGCTGCACCAATTTTATTTGGACTGGTCGCAATCGAAAGATACCGATGACATTATATAATAAAAGTGTTTTTAGATTTTTGATTGTGCTTTTAAATTCTGAGTAATTTTAATCTAAAGTTTCAAGATGTGAAAACTCGAGATAAAGCTAGTGGTAGCGTCGTGAATTTGACATCGACATGAACATATACACACATCAAGTATCATGTCATCATGTCAAACGGTTATATTTTTATTTTATGCACTTGGCGTCGCGACGCTACCGCGTCGCTTGATAATGTAACATAATAATTTAAACCTTTAATACTTTAAATGATATTATCTAATATAATATATGACTACGAAAAGTAACTGATATATTACTAAGGCGTCTTTTAAACACACACAACCGAACGTGCAACAAATATTCTCGAACGCACACAGCTGAACGAGCGAAATGTCTTCGAACGCACACAGCCGAACGAGAGTAACACGTATGTCGAACGCACACAGCCGAACGAACCGACAATATCCTCGAACGCACACAGCTGAACGAGTTGAATGTTTCTCGAACGCACACAGCCGAACGAGCGAAATATTTCTCGAACGCACACAGCCGAACGAGAGGAATACTTCTTGAACGCACACAGCCGAACGAGAGTAATGCCCGTATCACACTAGCGATTGGAGATTGCGTCTGCGTTTGCGTTTGCGCTTGTGATTAAACGTTTTTCAATCACACTAGCGACGATTAGCGATTACGTTTTATTAGATATATTTTCATGTGGAGAAAAGCTATAAATAAAAAGAAATTATATTATTTTTATATTTGGAAACATCATAAATTACAATTTATTGATTATGTGAAATATAAAGATGGATCTTCATAGGAAAAAGAAAATTTGTACTATTTTGATGCTTTTAATGTTGAAGTCACAATACGATACAACGACAAATAAAGAGGTACTTCGTAAAAAAAGAATGTGGATTAAATCTTGGAAAGCTAGAAGGAGAGAAAGAGGTTGTTTCCGTAATCTCTTTCTAGAGTTACAATTAGAAGATCCAGAGAAGTATCGCAGGTATGTAAATTAAATCTTCTTTCCTAACTGTATACACATAGGTTATAATCAATAGAATACAAGACTGTAATTTAACTACGATTGATCAACTGGTAGGTGATTGAATATAATCGTTTTAAAGAAACACTATGTTTTTTTGTCAGATGCCTTCGTATGAATTCAGATATATTTGAAGATCTTGTGGAAAAATTGAGCCCACTAATTAAGAGACAGGATACTCATCTTCGGGACAGCATCTCTCCTGCAGAAAGACTCGCTGTGGCATTGCGCCATTTAGCAACAGGTTATTGATCGAGTTAATTTCAAGCAAATTAGATATTTTTGTATGATCTATTTTATAATGTTTGTTATCTCTCGTATATAGGTGAAACTCAAGAATCATTATCTTATAGTTTTCGTCTCGGACAAAGTACTATATCTGGGATCATAAAGGATACTTGTCGTGCCCTTGTTTCTGTTTTGCAAGACAAATATCTTAAATTTCCTGACAGTAAATTGGCCTGGAAAGCAGTTGCCTATGACTATATGGAGAGATGGAATTTTCCGAATTGTTTGGGTGCCATGGATGGTAAACATATTCGGATAGATCCTCCATTACAGTCTGGTTCTTCATATTTTAATTATAAGGAAACGTTCAGTATTGTACTTTTGGCACTTGTGGATGCTCAACTTCGATTTATATTCGTCGATGTTGGAACAAATGGGCGAATTTCTGATAGAGGAATATGGAACAAATGTCCCTTAAAACATTATTTGGAGACGAGTAATGATATACCTCCACCAAGTTTTTTATCAGATACTGAACAAGATTTTCCATATGTAATCATAGCAGATGAAGGTTTTACTCTGTCTACAAATGTGATGATACCCTATCCTAAGCAACAATGTACAGGCAAAAAAGAAAGAAGAATTTATAATTATAGGTAAGTAGAAGTAAAGAAATGACTTTTTTATAAATCAGAGATGCATTTATTATTAATAAATACTTCTTTTATTAATTAAATTTTATATTTAATAATAATTGCAGATTATCTAGAGCAAGACGGACTTCGGAAAATGGATTTGGAATCATGGTCAGTAGATTTAATATACTCAGGTCTCCTCTAAGATATGACCCAGATGACGCTCGTTGGATTGTACTAGCAATTTGTTGTCTTCATAATATGTTGAGATCTCACAGTGTAGGCCGCATGATGTATACCCCACCAGGATATATTGATAAGGAAGATGAAAGGACGGGTCAACTTCAATATGGCGAATGGCGAAATGAACAAGGGCAAGGTTTACTAAATTTGCAACATCAAGGAGGCAATCGCCATGCTTCTGCTGCTATAGCTATGCGAGAGACTTTATGTGAATATTTTAATACCGTTGGAAGAGTGCCAGATGAAGCAATTCGTTAAAAATATGACATACTTTTGTATAACTTCCTTCTTTCTTATATTTTATAGTTTTAATATACATTAATATATACTTTGAAATGTCAAATATAATTATAAAGTTTGTATATCAAAAATACTTATATAAATAAACAATGTTCCTGAGAAATGCACAGCTACTTAAATACTAGATCTATAATAATTAAATATTTCTAATTGCGTATATATATTTTTGTGTATATATATATTTGCATACAACCTAATACCTAATTATTGCAGATGTAATAAGAATTCACATTTGAATATTTATTGCATAACTAAATATAATATAATTGTATTGAATTCTGATTTTTTCTTTGGAAAATAAAAAGCTCAAATATGTAATATACAAAGTAATACAAATAAAAACATAATGAAAGATTATATATGAAATATAGTAATATGGTATATATGTATTAAAACTGAGACAGTATTTTTAATATTTCATTTTCACACAGCTTACGTTGATCAGTTGTCATTTCACGCAGTCTTGCTGCGATAAACAATCCTAATGAATGAGCAGAGTCAGTAGATGAGTTTGATGAATTAGTTGAATTATTTGGATCTTGTTTGCACAAAGTTTTAATAGCAGTGACTGCTTCTACCATTATCGCACTATTATCATTAGGATCAAAGTTAGCCTTTCTTTTAGCATATCCTCGTTTAGTGTACATCTTATTTTCGACATCTTTTATTTTAGAAGCAGATGAAGTTAACGCTGAGCTTGTTAATGCTGTTGAAGTAGAAACAGTTTCATTGTGTAAAGTTGTCTGTAGGACAGGAGCACATATAGGTTGCAAAGGTTGAAATGCAGAAGATGCTGGCTGCTGTGAATACAAAAGAAAGACTAATATTCTGGAAGCTTATGATATCAACAAATAGTTTTAATTCATTGTGTTTGAAACTTACAGATGATACTGATAAATCTGTGGTACTATCGGATGATTCTTCCGTTGGTGCAATCATAAATTTCTGCAATAAATTTCAGAAATAATATTAAATGTACATATTACAACTTCATTGTACTAATTTCTTATATAAAATTTGTTTAAATGTTGTTGAAGTAATAATAATTTTAATTCGTACTTCCATAGAGTCATTATAATAAATGTTTATAACTGGGAGTTCCTCATTAACGATTTCTTTCTCCTGATTATCTTCTGCTATATGTAGTTGATATTGTTTCAGTGATTCATTTGAAGTCTCCTCTACCTGTGATACAATATTGTCAAGCTTTTCTGAGGAAATAGTAAGATTTGTGGTAGAAGTACTCTGAACTACTGTTTTTTGGAGAAACTTTAAACGATCATATAAAGACCACTTAGGAATGTAAATATCTGCAGTGCCTTTTCCGCTACGTTTAGAATCTTTTACTCTTCTCAAATTTGACATAAAAGTGTCTCTCATACTTTTGAATCTGCTTGCTACAATAGGACCTATAAAAGAAGAAAATATTTTACTTTAAATGCATGTAGTTTATTTGTATACATAACCTTTCATATGCATACTATGACATATACTATGCATCGATAAAAATAATTTTCCAATTTTTTTTTCTACATTAATATAACATTTACCTGAGAACTGAGACCCTAAAGAACGAGCCACCTCTTCCCAAACTGCATCTTTCAGATCTACTCTTTTGTATAGCTCAGAGGTGTGATCCCAAAGGATAGGTCTACACTCAACTAAATCAATTAGTATAAATTCTATATCTTTTGTAAATATATCAGCTTTTTTTGGCGGCATAATTCACAGATATATGTATATTTCACGTTTTTCCAAACGATTATTTTCTATTTTCGCGTTTCGATACATGAACTGATCACATGACTGTAAAACCGCTTCGTGATTGGTTGCGTTTGCGTCTACGATTATGAAAAATAGACAGATGTCTAACCGGGAATCGCGAATCGCAATCGCCAACGTCTTTTTTCTGATTGGTCGAAAGACAATCGCAGACGCAAACGCGAACGCAGACGCAATCTCCAATCGCTAGTGTGATACGGGCATAACACGTCTGTCGAACGCACACAGCCGAACGAGAGTAACACGTCTGTCGAACGCACACAGCTGAACGAGTGAAAATGTTCTCCTACTATTTACAAGATGCACCGGGCATCTCATCCACTGTCCACCCTTCTTGAGATTGCAAAGCTGCACACCGATCGCGAGGCTTTCAATAAGATGGCTACTTCTTTTCTCTTTTCGAGCCACACCGATCTTCACACGACCGCACTGTCGATCCCATTTCTGAAACTGTAGGCGAATTTCGAGGATTCGCAACCTTCTTAATAAACCGGAGACGCGCGTGCTCGGGGAATAGAGGATCGCACCAAGAGAGGCTCCGCGATATTCGCTATTCTTTCTCGAGATTTATTCAACCACGTGCAATCGCGACAGCGTTCGCTTACGATCTGATCTTCAACGATACATACGGCCTCTAGTGCCGTCGATAACTAGTCGGGTCTGTAATTCGTCTACACTATACTAATTTTCTTTAAATAGTCTAATGGAAGTTGTACATTAATTATATAGCAGCATTAAGCATATCAATCAAATCTAGACAGTCATGAGTTTTAATCTATGTAATAAAGTTAATCAAACATAACATAAGGGCAAAGTAAGAGTCAAAATAATTTAAATAATACTCATAACAAATTCACTTATGAAATAAAACTAAATACATTACAATAAATAAGCAGTTTTCAACAATAATTTGACTTAAAATTAATTAGACATTAAGTGACCAGTTTCGACTTTCTAATTGAGTCCTCTTCAGACTTCGATTCATATTCATTCTCATTCATTAATGGATAAGATTAAATTAAAAAACCCAACAAATTTAAACCTTTGAAAATTAACCGCAAAAATTTGATCCTTCCTA